TTTTATTTTTAAAAAGGAATGTTAGAAAGTGGAGCCGTTATTTCGCACTTTTAAAGCTTTTTATTAAAAAAAAATTGTAATATAAAGTGATTAATATGCTCAAGAAATCGGTGTTTTAAAAACCGAAAACGGAAATTTTGAGAGGGATGGGGGATTATAGGTTTAGGCGTGAGGTCATTTCGGGTGTCTAGCTGACGATGGTGATGGGGAGGGGGGGGGGGGATAAAAATCGTCAATAAAGTGTGACCATATTCAAGAATGACCCCTGTATCCATAAGATTTAGATTCACATTTGGCTGAGTCCACCAAACGGACAAGAAACAACGGTAAAAAAAAATATACCACGAACATATGACAAAAAGCTGACAATTTTTTAACAATAATTCTGTCTTTAAATAAGTGTAAAAAAATAGGATGTCCAAATTTTGAGTCTGTCAGAAATATGTACAAAAAATGTCAAGGATTTCTGGCATAATAATTAAATATTTCCTATTTTTGTTAGATGAAACCCTTCTATAACTTGGCATGAAAATCTTTTTTTTTTAAACTGTTTAAGCCTATTATACATTTTTATGTTCTCAACTTTCATTTTTACTTTCTCGTATACGAAGTATAGAGGAAATATTGTAATCGTGAAAAAATCGAAATAAAGATTTTCACAGATCTCCACGTTTTACACTAAGCGGGGGTGGAAAAACATAGTTTTTTCAATTTTGTCCTTATGTCTGTTTGTATGTGTGTGTCTGTGTGTCTGTGAACACGATAACTTGAGTACCGTTACAACTATGTTGATGAGATTTCATATTTATGTATTATATCATATTTGTAGTTCTGTATTAACTTTTCAGCGATTTCCGATAACCGGAAGTGAAACTTATTCTACTTTTAGTTTTTCTAAAGCCCATAACTTGAGCACTGTTTCAGATAGATGAATGGAATTCTCCCCTTCTGTCAAATTTCCGTAATTCCCGTTGACCGGAAGTAGTAATTTACGCTATTTCCGATTTCTCAAAAACGTTTATGAATTTATTATTTTAAGTACTAATAATATTCCGCACTATTATACACATTGTTTGCCATTCACTTGATGCGCAATTATTTTTTCTACGAGATTCTATTCTGTTTTAAAAAGTTGAAGTAAATAAAAATGGATTAAAAATCATGTCTATATCCCGAGTTGTCATCCCCCGTAGTGTTATATAAGAATAATCGAGACAGTTTAGGGGAGATCACTCCCGGTTTATTCAGCACATAAATTATATTGTTTAACAAAATTTTAAAAGCTAGCGACGATTCATCTGTTTTGATGTGACTCCACTAAACTAAAACGTTAACACCAAATTCGTTTTCCTCAATTTCAATATATTGTTTCTGTTTTAGAAATTCCTTTATTTACAAGTTTAATGGGGTGCAATTATCTGAAATCACTTGATTTAAAAACCAGTCGTAATTGGTTTGTCACTTGACTTGTATCTGATACACGTAAAGGCATATACTACGCTCACAAAAATATATCCTCTTTAATATCTTTAAATTAATTTTCATCTTCTAGAAGTGCGAGCTAATATTGAACTAGTATGTTGGTGCTATACGTTTAACATCAGCAATTAGTCAAATACGAAAAAAAAATATGAAAAAAAGAACAGAACAGTCACACTCTTTATATTTCTGTAGTGAAATATTACAGATGCATATCATCTCCTCTACCCCCCACTCCCGCATGCACTAAATATAATCCAGCTATCCACCCCCTCCCCTTCCATCTTGTGCATAAATCGCTGACGTTACCTCCCCATGGCCAAACCGTTCCGCCCACAAGGTCACGTGCTCCGGGGCGTGTCCTGACAACCATACATTATTAATCCCCTCCCACCCGGCAACTAATTGTCCCCACCCCCTCCCCCCACCCACGTTAACTAAAGAGCCATCACGAGATTCTCATTACGGCTCCAGAACCGTTCTAGAACACTCCGACAACAGCTGAAGGGCAGGTAAGAAACACGGACCATCTCATACGACCCCCCTTCCCCACCCCTCTTATCAAAACCTCTTTAATAAACGACGATAGTGCCACAGATACGACATGAACGCGAGGAGCTGAGTGCTCACTTACGCGCGTGCGACAGGTTGTGGCTTTGTGCTCATTATCCAACACACCAGATAACATCAGAGCCATTTTTTTTTTCAACCTCGCGCTGTTCAGCAGAACAGTACAATAGTAACACGTGGTGTAGTTATCTAATTGGAAACAGATTTCAATAAGTTTTTTTGTTAATACGAAACCATCATTTTTAGTCATAGTTATTCGCCCTTTTATAGAGTCTAATTATTACGATAATTATTTGAATTTAATTAGAACGGGAATGATTAATAAAGACTCAAAGGAATACCGATATATTTAACTGTGTAATCATATTCTTGGATACCCATTAGTTTTTAAACAATACAAAATGGCAGAGACTAACTCAAACATGACCAAACCCTAACTCAATATTGAAATTTGACATTGAGGTAAATTCAAAACAAAGCCTAACCCAATATTGAAGTTTGGCGTTGGTCAATTCAAAACAAACCCTAACACAATATTGAAGTTTGGCGTTGGTCAATTCAAAACAAACTCTAACCCAATATTGAAGTTTGGCGTTGGTCAGTTCAAAACAAACCCTAACCCAATATTGAAGTTTGGCGTTGGTCAATTCAAAACAAACCCTACCCAATATTGAAGTTTGGTGTTCAAAAGAAAGTTGATGATTGTGCTAAAATGACAAACTGTTCAAGTTTTTTTCTAATGTAAGAGGGAGGGGGTAGGAAGGGGATTCTCCGGACTACCAAAATTGAAAATGTCGTTTTAGGTGTAGTCTCTGGTAGGTAACCGTTGTGTATAGCAAACACACAGACACACGTACACGCAAACACAAACACACGCACTTACTGACAGCACACCAACGCACATACACGTACACACAGTGACACGGTCACAACACACACACACACACACACGGAAACAAACATACAGACACACTCACACAAATACAACACCTCCTCTGCAATAATAAACTTAACAAAGCCTGAAACAAATCAAAGCACGGAGATCAAAGACAATGTACTTTAGTCACATACGTATACAATATCTCTGTGTTAAAGTGTAAAGGCCGCGGGTATAATTGGTTTTTATTTCAGTCGCAGAGCAGGTTATTCAGTTTATAGCATTTAATATTGAATTAATAAAATAGGGTAGAGTACTCTAGGCTAAGGTTATTCAGTTTATAGCATTTAATATTGAATTAATTAAAATAGGGTAGAGTACTATAGGCCTGAGGCGTAGCGAGGGGGGGGGGGGGGCGGGGGGTGCGGACACCATTTAGGGGGGGGGGGGTGATACCAAGGCAAAAAATAGTAAAATATATAGAGAAAAAATTGAGGGGGGGGGGGGTGCAAATCGAAAGTTTGAGGGGGGGGGGGTGTAAATCGTAAGTTCGAGGGGGGGGGGGTGCAAATCGAAAGTTTGAGGGGGGGGGGGGGGGATGCAAATCGAAAATTGAAATTTTGTTCCCGGGAAGAGTCGCTACGCCTCTGGGGGGTGGGGGTACACACACACACGATTATGTGCCGCACCGGGTGACACCCGACCTCGCTACGCCACTGCAGGCTAAGGTTATTCAGTTTATAGCATTTAAATATTGAATTAATTGTATTAGAGTAGAGCAGTCTATCTAGAGCTTCTTTGGTTGGTCTGGTTCTTATCGATTAACCCTACCATAACACTTGTAAAATTGGAATCCCCAGTTACAGTAAAATTTAAGTTAAGGTTAAATGTCAGGGAAAGGTTTGGGATAATAGGGCGGGTAAGTAGGTCACTAACTAGTTCTATGGCTCATGCAGGTTTCATTGACCTCCTTACCAGCCCTATAGAGCTAAGCTCCGCGAGTTAAGCTACGTGAGTAAAGCTCCGTGAGTAAAGCTCCGTGAGTTAGCTCCGTGAGTTAAGCCCCTTGAGTTAAGCCCCGTGAGTTAAGCCCCGTGAGTTAAGCCCCGTGAGTTAAGCCCCGTGAGTTAAGCCCCGTGAGTTAAGCCCCGTGAGTTAAGCCCCGTGAGTTAAGCCCCGTGAGTTAAGCCCCGTGAGTTAAGCCCCGTGAGTTAAGCCCCGTGAGTTAAGCCACGTGAGTTAAGCCCCGTGAGTTAAGCCCCGTGAGTTAAGCTCCGTGAGTAAAGCTCCGTGAGTTAAGCTCCGTATAAAAGTATCGTTTTAAAATGTGTGACGTTTCTTGTGTTAGACTTGCAGTTTGGCAAAAGGTCCAAGCTAAACTTGACCAACGCGACTGATATTCTCGTTAGTTACAGCCACGTCTATCCTGCTTGACCCATCTTCCTTTTGACAGATCTCCCCAGATTTTTTCGGACTTCGTTTTTCCTCCCTCCCCCCCCCCCCTCCTCCCTTGTGCATGACATTCCAGTTCTTTCTTAGCGATACTGTTTTAGGTTGTTGTTTTTTTTTTTCAAGTTTTTATTAACTTAAATCCTTCGTCATGTTTGTGTTATCTGGTTGGATTCTTGTTATCATTTAAGGCCATCATCTGGTGGTATGTAAACAAACGACCCATGGGTAACCTATATATCCTATGTTGATGCACTTTTTTATGAACTTTGAGATGACATTGTGTTGGTGTTTATTTAATTAATTCTCGGTTGTGCCCTTTATGTTTTACTTTCGATAAAGATTAGGTCCATAAGAGAAACAATAAGTAATCTTTTGTAAGTTAATGGAGGGGGCATTTTGATTATTATGAGTTCAATGGGAGGAATTAATTATTAAATTGATTCTCCAAAAGTTAGTTTTGACTTGAAATTTTGTAGTTTTTGTTAACTTTATTTTTTTATTCGCAAGTTGTATCTCGCAAGAATTAATTATAGTTTTTTGTTAGGTGTTGTCCCACGTTTTCTTCACTTTGCATAACCAAAAAATTCACAATTTTTAATAACATTTTTTTTCCCATCTTCAGCGCTAAGTGTTCGGGCAGGCTTGTACATTCCAAAGAGAAACTACAATTTTTACATTCCGAGTTCTCCCCCTTCTGACGGAGTTGTCGTGGCTGTGAACACAATCGACAGCTACGTCATCGGGTGTGACGTGCGGCACACGTTTCCGGTCGTGGATCCAGACGCCGGTGACGTCATCGCTACACTCGCAGACAGGTCCGTCCACCTGAGGATACATTCTGGAACTTTCCAGCTGACAGGTAGGACGTTGTTTGTGACAGAAATATGCCCCGGGGGTCGGGGCTGCAGCTAATGGTGGAGGGGGGGGGGTAAGCAAAAACGTAGTAAACGTGGGTTAGAGAGTATTGGGGCGGGATAATCACATAGAATGTTTCATAGGAAAAACCACAGGAAAATTTTGTTGGCTAGACAAATCACGGGCAGAAGGTCATTGGAATAAAAAGATTTAAATAACATCTTTATATGTGTATATATACATATATATGTATATATATGTATATATATATATATATATATATATATATATATATATATATATATATATATATATATATACATATATATGTATATATATGTATATATATATATATATATATATATATATATATATATATATATATATATATATATATATATATATATATATATATATATATATATATAATATCTTTTCCCGTTCGAGCCCAAGTCATATGGGGCAGATGAAATAAATTTCATTTGTTTAAATGACCTCAGCATGGAGGGGGGGGGGAATAGTGTCGTCAGGGACGTCCTACAGACTCCTGGGATCCGAACTAGAAAAAAAAACATTTTACTTCTGTTTTTTTCCTTAAGTTGAGCTTCTTGAGCACATCTACAGACTTGGAGTCGAAATTCAAACTTGAGACTTTCGGGTCAGCATATGAATATGCATGATACATATTTTTTAAAGGGGCTGCTTGCTCTCTCCGAAATCTTCCACACCTACATAGACAATAGCACGACAGACGGTATTTGAAGACCGGCTCAGTCGGCATCCATTTGATAGAGGACATTAAGGAATTGACTGGGCTGTCCATTGAAGACTAAGCATAAAAATTGTTTAAAAGTCAGCTCTGGTGCCACTACAACCCCCCCCCCCTCATCCCCCACCCCAGGGTTTATGGGATTCTTGATTGACTGAAATATCAAAACAATTAATCAGATGTTTCTCAGAAAAAAAGGAAATAATACACTTAACATTTCATTCATTATATCAAATGAACATCAGTGTCTATTTTAACGCTAATGATTATGTCATGAGCTAAGATAAATAAGACGCATCCTTGACAATAGTCATTGTATGTACTGGATCATCTACAACACATCTCGTTACATCTAAAGATGTTAAAACCACATATACATACATAAATATATTTACAACTTTGGGATAACAAATATAAAAGTAAATGTTTTTCTTCCCCTTTATTTTTGTTCGTTTTTATATTTCCATTTTAACAAGTTGTATCTTTAACAAGTACATAGTTTTTTGTTTTTTTTTTTGTTTTTTTTATAAAAACAAAAACACCCTATTAGAAAGTGCAAGAGATTTTTATTCCCCGAGGCTACAATTTAAACTTTCGGCAGTCCCAAATTCAAACCATGCAGCCTAATAAATAATAGAATCTCTTTTCTAAAAGTTTAAACAAATCAATTTCTTTTCGTCCTAATACAATTACCTTTCCCAATGTTTCTCCTTACGGACTACTAGGTTAGGGGCGATCACTGCGGTTTAAAATTATACATTTATGGAGAAGTGTTGGGGTGCTTGGAAGATTCAACAAGTTAGATCTCTTTTAAAAGTATATAAGGAACAAAATAAATTTATAAGTAATCTCACGGTGGGGGCGTATTATTAAGTACGAGCCGACCCGCGGCGTATCATACGCCGCTATTTAGTTGTTTTATTTTATACTTTTCAGTAATTTATAATTTGTGAATTCGACAGTACCAATGTTGCCACTGAAAATATTTGCTTTAAAACACTACCCCCCCCTCCTTCCCCTAACCCTTACCCTACACCCCCCCCCCCCCCGTGAAAGCAGCCTCCTCTTAGTTACCTCCTGTAAGTTTAAAATCGTTTCAAACTAAATTATCTGCCCCTAATAGCCGTCACTAAACCCGGCTCTACGATTTGTAAACATTTAGTGTGACCACAACTCACCAGACAATGTGGGGTGGGGGTGGTAGTGATAGTGATAGAGAGAAAGAGAGGGGACTGCAAGGATGCGCTTGCAGCTTGTTTTCTAGCGTCTCCCAGAAGAGAATTATATATATAGATGATTCCAACCCCCCCCCCCCCCACCCGCCGTACTAACTAAAAAAATTAACGTTTTTGCAATTTCGAAACTTCAACAAAAATTTTCTAAATTCAAGAAATGAAGTGTATACTTGTCGTTTACAAGTATTCCTACTTGTTCTACGCTTGTAATATGTTTTTTTTAACAAACATCAGAAAGTTTATTGTTTTTGAGTAGTGTGTGGATTTGTTTAGACGAGATCTCCCCCCACGTACAAAGCTAACTCCGGGGGTTGAAGATCGCTCAGGAAAATATTGAAAACATGGGAAAATTTGAACACAGGGGACAAGTAGTTCACTCCAACTTGTCGAGGGCGTTTTTAAATTCTGAGGGATGTGGCAATTTCCGCCATGTCATGACGTCAAGTGGGACATGTCAGCTGACATTTCATGTGACTTTTCAGCAGCTTTAAGATGTACTCAAAGTGAACTATATTTACAAGATAGAAAACAAATTAGGTTGATACAAAATAGGAATTCTTCATATAACAGTTACCTATGTATAAAAATTACGGCGTGGCCTAGCGGTGGAGCTCAAGACTGCTAACCCGAAAAGTCTCGAGTTCGAATCGGGTTCAGTTCAGTGGAACGTCAATTGGTATCTAACTCACTATATGGAAAGTAAAGGCGGCAGGGCAAAGTGCTGACCACATTATCGCTTCATATGCCGAGGTCAAGAAACATAAATTCCACTTCATCTGCCCAATGGATCGTTAGGTCGAAAGAGGAATCTTTACTTTATAAAAATTACCCATATATAAAAATTACCTATGCATAAAAATTACCCATAAAACAACTTACCCATGTATTGAAATTACCCACGTGTAAAAATTACACATTTATAATAATTACCCATTTGTAAAATTTACCCATATATAAAAATTACCAATATATGAAAATATAATATAAAAAGAAACCTAAGACTTCTCATGGCTTAACAACGTAACATATTAGCTCCGGTATTAAGCAGCTTGGGCCACCATACTAAGTCATCTGTTTCACCATGCAAGGTTGTTTAGGTCACCATTGAAGGTCATTTATGTCACCGTCACTAGGTCAAATATCCACCAGCAGTAACAGCCGACATTGACCAGTGACCTTGAAACAGGAGCGTATAACGGACACCCATGCTATGCTAATACTGACACCTGACAATGGCGGCCATTTGTTCACGTGATGAATGGACGCACGCGCAAGCAGGCTGTCACTCGTTCTCCGATGTTTTCATTGGTCCATTTCAGACAGGGGACGCTACTCGCGCCGAGCGGAAGTCGAGATGAAAGCGGGAAAAATGTCTGGATGAAAATAGAATTTATTGCGTATTGATTTTACCCTAGGTGTCGCTGCCCAACCGGTGATATAAACACATTTGGACAACCAAAATCAACTTTTACTTTTTCTTTTCATGGCGGTTCGCCGGTATTAATTAATCCATTAGCTAGAATTAAATTCTCGTAAATCTTGTATCGCCAATAGCGATATCCTGAAGAAAATATTTTTCACCTATAGTTGATCCTCTCCCATTTTCGTAAACCTTTACCACATTCTAACCATAAGCTTAATTTGATTGCTCAAAGTGTGGGTATCGGCGTTAACTAATGAAAAATTATTGATAAATTATTTCACCATGAAAAAAGTTTCCCTTTCAAACCTGACGGTCTATGGGGCAAGTGAAGTAGAGTTCACTTGTTTCTGTGACCTAGGTATATGAAGAGATAGTGTGGTCAGCACTATGCCCAGCCGCCTTTACTTGAGACTTTCGGGTCAGCATATAAACATGCATGATAGATATTTTTTTTAAAAGGGCTGCTTGCTCTCTCCCAAATATTCCACACCTACCTAGGTATATGAAGAGATAGTGTGGTCAGCACTATGCCCAGCCGCCTTTACTTTCCCTGACAGGAGTTAGGTACCCATCAGAGTTGGGTGGACTCAGGGACTGTCTACTGACTTGAACTCGGATTCGAACTCGAGACTAACGGGTTAGCAGTCCAGCTCTCTACCGCTAGACCACTCCGTCCCACAATAATTATTGATAAATTATTTTACCATACTTGTAATTATTTCGTCATACTTGTAAAAGTAAAGATTAAGCTGGCTAATGAGGGGAAAAAAGTATTTTCAAATAGTGTTAAATACATTTTCTCTTCAATTTCTTGACATGGTTGTCTCTATTGGTCCTGCCTGTAAAACATTGATTAGAATCTGAGCAGAAAGTGTCCGTATTTAATTTAACGGTGTAAATTACAATGATAAAGTACAAATCGTGTAGCAAATAAATAAAAACAACAACCGCACCCACTAAAGAAAAACACAACAAGCAAAGAACTGTAGTCTGGAACTCAGAGGCCAGGCATCATATTGACTTTATCTATGTGTTTGAGATCTAACTTGACATTGAGCTTTACCTTGAACTCTACATAGACTTCTACCTGACCTCTACTTTGAGCTTTACCTTGAGCTCTACCTTGACCTCTACTTTTAGCTATACCGACTTCAAAAAAAAAAAATTCATCCTCTCATGTACCGAGGAAAAATGGTAATTTTCAAAGTGTGAAAAACATAATTTCTTAACTCAGCGTTATCCCCTTGTAATCTACTAAAATCCAATAAGCTTACGACTTTAACCCCCCCCCCCCATCCAAACAGTAGCTTAGCGAGGGGGGTGGCATATGTCTCCGGGCGCCGACCTTAGGGGGCGCCAAAATGGGTTGGAAAAATAAATTGAAAGGTTGAAGGGGGTGCAAATCGAAAGTTTGAGGGGGGGGGGGTGCAAATCGAAATCTTGAGGGGGTGCAAATGGAAAGTTTGAGGGGGGGTGCACATCGAAATCTTGAGGGGGGGGGTGCAAATCGAAAAGTTTATCCCCGGGCGCTGGGAAGGGTCGCTACTCCTCTGCATCGAAAATGAAAATATTCATCATCGTCAATTGCATTTATTTAGGGTTTCACTGTCGTCCTTATCGAAGTGCAGGGTAATGGAATTTTTTTAAACTGTCTCTGGGTGTGGGTGGAATATCAGACAGAAACCCTTGAGTTGTCTCCCGTCTTTGATACTTGGACGGCTGTAGGTTACCTACCTTGTTACGACAAAGTAGAACACTATGTTGACACAATTTCTTTCAGGAAAATCCAAGTTTTTAAAATTAACTTCAGCTTTAGTTGAACATGCTAGACTAATTAACTCTCATCTTAAATTAGTTGTGCTTTTTCATTACATCTGTTTATTATTGTTTTGAATTCCTAATTTTTTCCTTGATACTTTCAACTTTTGGCGCGTCGAGAATTAAGTCAGTGTCTACATCCGGTTTAACCACGGTGACGCGACGGTTCGACTAATGGTTCGTCTGCAGGTTTCAGACTTAGCTTCCCTAGGGAGAGCTGGTTTGTCCGTCACAGACTGGGGTAGGGGGAAGGGGTGGTATGGTAGTTATAGTTAATAACCTGTTGGAACTCCATGTTTTGTTAAGAAAATATAGGTCTAGGTGAAGTTTGATTCGGGGTCTTCCATATACGTACCAGGGTTAGGTTTTTTTTTTGTTCTAAGAGGTAAAATTTAACACCCCAGTATTGACAAACTGCAAACTGTCAATATTGAAGTTATTAAGTTGTCCGTACGCAAAGGTCAAATATTGACGTCTTTTTCAGTGCAATAGCCAGCTCTTGTTTTCACAGAATAGAGACGTGACCGCCTTATTAACTATGTCTTGAAATATCTTACAGTAAAGAATTAAATAAACAAATAGTTTTATGTTATTGTAAAATATTATTTTAATATTATCCCCCTTAAAATGAAGCAAAGATATATTCATACTTCCAAATTATAAATATATATATATATATATATATATATATATATATATATATATATATATATATGTATATATATACATACATATATATATATATATATATATATATATATATATATATATATATATATATATATATATATATATATATATATATATACACACATATATATATATATATATGTGTGTGTATATATATATATATATATATATATATATATATATATATATATATATATATATATATATATATATATATATATATATATATATATGTATATATATATATATGTATATATATATATATATGTATATATATACATATATATATATATATATATATATATATATATATATATATATATATATATATATATATCTAACGTGTTAAGCAAAGTAAACTTCATTGACCATTCACAGAAAAGAGGAACTATACACTAAAACTGCTGTGTAAGCATGCCGTGGACACACTGGAGTACTACAGACCGCTGACCCAGACCCAGATCTGGCTGCTGCCGTCACGTGACCAGCCCACCCTGGGGGGCTGGAACACCTCGGACAACGCCCTGGATGACCTCTGCCCCCAGGATGATGACCTGGCGTATGACGTCATAGAGAACTCGGGGACGGGAGCCATCCTCGACACCTTGGCTAACCACTGGCTCCCCGTGGCGCCCGTAGGGGTCGGGATCACCCTAGAGGCTGGTGAGTACAGCTTCTGATCTTTCCCTATATATATATAAATATATGTCACTACTTTTGTTGCTTGGTTTGATCTGGTTCAAGTTGATGTTTGACTCAACTTACAACCAATTCACAACTTTTGTTGCATGGTTTGATCTGTCTAAAGTTGATGTTTCACTGGTTTTTTGTTTCCATGGTTACTCTCCATCACCACAACTTACACCAAAGCTAAAACATCCGTCCTTGTGACACCACCCATGCAGCCAAGGGGGACAATTACTGTGTATACTGTATATTTATGCTTGCATTATCTCTCCCGTCTGTTGAATAATAGATTTCAGCCCAAGACGCATGCGCGTGGATGTGTTGTTGACCATAAAAGCGCACGTTACGTCCATTAAATGACACATGACCTTTGTGAAATGAGTTTGTTGTTGTATATTTGTTCTACTTCCCGATGTTTTGGGGTGTTTTAGTTTGCGCCCAATTCTAAGTATTGATTTTTTTTACATATCCGCAAGGGTTATGTTATGTGTTAGGATTTATATCCATTGACCAAAATTGAGAGCTGACTGTTAGATTAGAATAGGTTAGAATAGTCCAAAACGTACGGGAGAGGCTTGTGTGAGTCAATCCCGGGGTGTTTATGCATTGTTATCCCAAGGTCGAGTGCGGGTACAAAAGCTGAAGTGAACGACTGTAAGGGGCTTTTAGTTGGTAGCGGCTAGGGACGATGGCTGATGTGTAATGTGTAAAGATGAGAACAAATAAAGTATTGAACATTTTCTGCATTGAATACAACCCAGACGTAACGACTGGTGGCCAGTATTTGGGATCGAACCCACGACATTCGCGTCATCAGCCCGACCCAACCCTAAGCCGAATTCTTATTCTAGGCTTTAATCATGTCTAATGATATGACCTTGTGCTATTCGAATAGACCTCTATTAGACATAGTACGTGTGTACTTCTAGTATATAGAAGTTGAATAGGTCGATATCTGAGATTAGAAGAGGTTAGCCTGTCGCTCCTCCTGGGACATAGGGCGCTGACAAGAGCTTTCCAGGCGTCTCTGTCCTTGGTTAGGTTCCACAGCTGTCCCCAGGTGTATCCAATTTTCTTGGTGTGTTCTTCCAGGTCACGTGTATATATATATATATATATATATATATATATATATATATATATATATATATATATATATATATATATATATATATATATACGTGTGTGCCTGCGCACGTGCATGATAACGTTCAATCAGATTTGCTTCACAAAATAGATTTACAGTTTTGCACAAACATGTTTCAATGCAAATCCATTGTGTTCCTCCAGAACTCCCAGCCCTTCATTATTGAACACTGGGATAGGATAATTTTCTCTCAACATTTAGCTACCAAAGTAATGGTCTATTAAAACAGCGAGGTTCAATAACTTTGGACGTAATTCTACTGCTTCGCCAGAATTGTTCCGTTAGGTCCGGGAATGGATAATGAATAACTAAGTACTACAAAAATCTTGAAGAAAGATGCAATTTTTAAAAAATGTATTAATTAAAATTCGCTAATTTGTTATTTATGAATGTCGGATTAATGGTGTTCAAGGTTTTATTATTATCTCCCTTGAGTATTATGGTGTTCATTTAATTAATTAGTTTGCAATACTGGACAAAACCGAAACTCCTAAAATAACAAATCACTAGACAATTGTGTTTACATCAGAATTGTATGCACAATTATTTTTATTTTATATCTAAAAAAAACCTCGACAAACATAATACTATTTGTTTTTGTTTTTGAAAGTGAGATAAATAAATACACGTATGGATTTGCAATTAATGAGATCAATGTCAGATAATTACAATTTATTAATGATTTATTATTAATATTTTTCAAACATTATTTCAAATTTTTAATAAGTTTTTAATGAGATCCTTGAAAAATCCTTCAACAAAATTATTCCATCTCACTAAAGAAAGTAAAAAATTGAAAAAAAAAATTAAAAAATTTGTCGCACCTACTCTTAATCCACCACTGCTCCACCACTCCTTCATCACTGCTACCACCGCTGCTCCACCGCTGCTCCACCGCTGATCCACCCGTCATCCACCACTCCTTCAATACTGCTCCACCAATGGATTAACAATGCGGGGGCTAAGTCACTTTGCATGTACATTAAATTGATTGGATTAATTAGCGTCTGCCAGACGTTTTCCCTGCAAGGTCTCCCAGACCCAGACTGACCAATCGTTGTTGGTCTGGAAGTGCCGGGATCATCTCCCTAATTGGTCCAGCACTTTAGATGGCGTGTTTTTGTCTTGTCTGATGGAGCCCACTTCACCTCAGGCTGATTCTCTTGTTTTTGCTTGGTCACTTCTCTAGAGTCCATGGTGTTCAGTAGATTTTATAGTCAGTTCGGTATATTATTATTTTAGGATCAGTAAATATCAGTTGATAGTACTGTAGATGTGATGGTCAGACTCATAGATTCTATGGTCAGACTCATAGATTCTATGGTCAGACTCATAGATTCTATGGTCAGTTCCATAGTTGTTTTGGCCAGTTCAATTCGTTTTATTATCAGTTCCATAGATTATACAGTCATTTCAATTGATTCTATGGTCAGTTCATTAAGTTTAATAGTCAGTTCTGTATGGTTCGAGATAGACTTTATGGTCAGTTCTATAGATTCTATGGTTAGCTCCACATATCATATGGTCAGTTCCATAGATTGTATGGTCAGTTCCATAGATTCGATGGTCAGTTCCTTAGATTCTATGGTCAGTTCCATATATTCTATGGTCAGTTCCATAGATTCTATGGCCAGTTCCACATATTCTATGGCCAGTTTCACATATTCTATGGCCAGTTCCACATATCCTATGGTCAGTTCCACAGATTATATGGTCAGTTCCACAGATTCTATGGTCAGTTCCACAGATTATATGGTCAGTTCCACATATTCTATGGTCAGTTCCACAGATTCTATGGTCAGTTCAATAGATTCTATGGTCAGTTCATAGATTCTATGATCAGTTCCACAGATTCTATGGTCAGTTCCACATATTCTATGGTCAGTTCCACATATTCTATGGTCAGTTCCACAGATTCTATGGTCAGTTCCATAGACTCTATGGTCATTTGCATAGACTCTATCACAATCTTATTGTTTTTATACTACAGCGAACGACTGGCCAGTTTTTCCAACATAAACAAGAACAGCTTGTCAGATTGTTCTTTTCAAATGTGTTTTCTGACCTTAGGGCCTCCGTCGCTTGTGCAGACAGACTTCGTGCTGCTGTCTCAGTGCTCAGACAGATTTCGTTCATCAGATGTCCCGGGGGAGACGAACGTCAGCTCGTTAGAGAGAACACGAGATGTGTGAGGGGTGGGGGTGGCGGATGGGGGGGGGGACCATGGGGGGGGGGGGGAGATACGTAGAGACGTAGATTAAATTTACGGTCTGAGCTGGTAACTTCCTGGATAGATAAAGGTTTTGCTGACAGTCACACGAAGGCTGTTGACTTTTCTGTGCTGGACTCTGGGTATCCAGAGGCTACAGAAAGTAGTGCTAGAGGGTTGGGCTAGCGCGATACTCCAGTGTAGTCTACGAGTAGCCATAGTAACTGGTGCTAGGCTACGATTAGCTATAGTCACCACAGATCGCTACTGTCATAGCGTAGATATACTAGACTAGTAGAGGTTACTTATGTCAGTATGAACTTGACGGTAGACGATTTGGTGCAAGAGTATTGTGCGCGTGTTTAATAAAATATTTGTGGCGTGAGTGTGACGTGAGCATGATGCGACAATGTACCGATGACGTAGGAGGCAGCAGTGAAGTTAGTTGGGGGTTAGCCATAGTAGAAGACGGGCGTATTTTGATCTATAAGTGTGTGATAATAAAGTAAATGTTATTTCATAAACTATTTGTACTCACCACAGATGGCCTACGACTAGCCATATTCCCTAGATCTAGACTCCGGTTTGCTAACGTCATCTACAAGAGTGCTATCTTTAAACAAAACAAAGACAACACTGTTGTATTTTAACCAGCTAACTACAACGTTCTTTACAAAAGTCACCAAAGTATTAATCCGCCTAATTAGTCCTGAGAAGTTAATGAGCTTTGAATCTAATTCCATCTTCTCTCCGCCAACATTCGGCCACATTAACCCACGCAGAGATCCAACATTTCCCGCTACTTAATGGTGTCCTCTCTAATAAACTTGACGAGATCCGAGTTCAAATCCCAGCGTAGACACAAACGTGTCAGCTTCACTGCCTACTTCAACTCCTTTCATCCTCCAAAACATCAAGGTCAATTTGTCGTCTGCTAAACATTACATCACGTGGTAATTACCCGTCATTTAATGACTTCTTTGTCAGTCCCAACTTTTGGTTGCCGCTACGTCTGACGTACGGAACATCAGAACGGATCTCTGGTGAAAAGATTCCATTAGGCCTGGAGTCTGTCGAGCCCGCTAGAACTCGTTTCGCCCTTTGTAGCGGTAGCAGACGTGGAGCAGACACAGATCAGGTTAGCCGCTCATTCAGAGGTAAACGAGATATGGAATGACTTCATCATGTCCTCCCGGAGAGGGATGGAATGTCCCTTTTTTTCTGGCTTCAATGGCTGTTGTCGTCAGCATTGACTTGATTGTTGTGGGGACCACACACAGGGAGGGATCATTTTCTCCGCCCCCTCATACACACTCACGTTACATACATGCATACATACATACACACATACACACACACAAATATAAATATATATATATATGAATCTACACACACATACACACATACATACACACATACATACACACATACATATATATATATATATATATATATATATATATATATATATATATATATATATATATATATATAACCTTTCGATACGACCTAGGGGTTTTTATTAAAAAAATAATTCCATGCAAGGATAATGATGTGTGGGTGTCCTGACATAGTATATTAGTGGATTGTCTCTCCGTCTGTCATGTATTAAGCAAATTA